CATTCATGTTAGAAGATTTTGCATTCATGCATGGCATTAAAAGCGAAGACATGAACGCTTCGCTATTAGTACACACCCCTGCGGGCCAATGTCGGACCTCCATGATTTGCAACGACATCCCCATTGAAATCGAAGGACTGGAATTCCTTGTCTCTCCCATCGTACTGAAGTCCTGTAGCATTGATCTCATTTTGGGAATGAATTGTTTAAAGGCGCATACTGCTTCTATAGTTTGCGCCACTAAGACCGTCCATCTGCTACACCCTTTTGATGAAATAATTAGCTACAATGCTCGTCTGGTTCAGAATGCCGAGGCAAGGCTTTATGCCTTGAATGCATTGAACGCTACACCACTCAAGGGCATTGAAAATATTCCCGTTGTGCGAGAATTCCTTGATGTCTTTCCTGAAGAACTTCCAGGGATCCCCCTGCCAGAGCTGTCGAATTCATCATCGACTTGAAATCAGGCACCACTCCTATAGCCAAATGGCCCTACAAGATGTCGCCGTATGAAATCATTGAGCTCAAGGAGGAAATCGACAAATCTCTTCGAAGTGGTTTCATTCGCCCAAGTTGCTCTCCTTGGGGAGCACCTTCTCTCTTTGTCAAGAAGAAGGATGGGACAAACCAATTGGTCCAAGACTGCCGTCCTATTAACCAAGCTACCATTTAGAACAAATATCCTCTTCCTCGGATCAATGACCTATATGATCAACTGGTTGGTTCGTTAGTGTTCTCTAAACTCGACTTGAGGTTGGGTTACCACCAGATCCATGTCCGCGAAGAGGATATCCCAAAGACCGCATTTGTGACTCGCTATGGTTCATACGAGTACACTGTCATGTCTTTTGGATTAACCAATGCTCCAGCCACCTTCTCTCATCTAGTGAACTATATCTTTATGGAATACTTCGACAAGTTTGTCGTGGTTTATCTGGATGATATCCTGGTATATTCCAAGAATGAAGAAGAACATGATGAACATCTTCGTCTTATTCTGGAAAAGCTTAGAGAGCATCAACTCTATGCCAAGTTCTTCAAGTGTGAATTCAGGCTTCCTGAAGTAACCTATCTTGGGCATGTCATCTCCAAGGATGGCTTTGCCGTCAACACCGAGCAAGTTCAAGCTATTCTTAATTGGACTCCTCCGAAGAATGTCAAGCAAGTCAGAAGTTTTCTCGGACTCGCCAGCTATTGCCTATCCCGCATCCTCGTCGTCGTCGACTCAGCGGTGGAGGCCTGCTTGATCAGGGCCATGTTCGGGACTGGGCTCCGCCGGGCTGGTATTGGGAGGTGCTACCTTCCGGGGGACGTATGTTGGTGAGAAGGCAGCCCGTTGTTGACCCGATCTTTGTTTGGTGGCGGTCGCGTGGGCCAGTGACGGTGCCGAGGCTTCCGGACACCGCGGAGGTGGTACGTCATCGTGTCAGCGAGGAGGACGAGCACGTCCATCGCTACATGGTTGCATTGGAGGGCAGGTTCGACAATACCTGGTAGATTCTTCAGGGATCTCACTAGAGCTATGATCCTGTGATGGTTCCTTATCTTTGGGTGTCCACCGCCCGCGATGGTACCCGTCGGGCGCTACGGTTCTAGTTGTATTAATGATGCTATATTAGTGATAATATTCGACGATGTACGGACACCAAGAGATGATGTACTTTTGCTTATAATTGAATGCATGCTAATTTGAATACTACTTTATTTTATGATTTTGTTTTGCTTATTTTATGATTTGGTTTTGCTTATTGAATGCTCATATTAGAAAAGTTCTCCTTCATTCCTGTGTGCTAGACAATTTGGTGTAACAATGCACTAGGGAATGAAAGGAGGAGCTATGTACCATCACCGATAGTCAACCCGTGATTAATAGTAATGATCTAGTTTAATATTTGAATTATGAACATAGGCCGGAAATGTCGTACTCGGACGACGAAAACCGCCCGGGGGAGTGCGACTAGTGCCACGACGACCGAGGTATGTGCGACAGGTTCATTGAGCTGGACGAAGATCGGGGCTTCAGCATTAAGCTCGAGGAGACCTTCGATGTTCATACGGTACACAACGACGACAATAGTTTTTTTCGTAATTAAGCATGACTTCAACTATTTTAACATGTATTTTTCATTTTTTCCAATTCGTCTAGCTTATGCCATGCTATGCAAGACGCTATGTCTTAGAGAGGATGAGTTTTGAAGACCATAAAAGTATGGAAACCAAAAAAATTCTCCTAAGGACCCATCATGGTGTGGATTTTCAAGTAAAGCTGTACAATGCTGAGAGTGTAACCCATTTTGGTTGCAAAAATTGGGAAGCACTTTGCAAGATGTACGGTTTTGATGAGGGTATGCTTGTCACCATGGATCTTGATGATCCTACAATCGAGCAAGACAGACCTTCGATTTGGGTCCTTGTGGATACACCTCCAATTCTTCCCCCATGTGAGCTTAACATAGTTAATTATTAAGTAATTTATATTATTTATTTCAAAATAATTGACATCTTATTTCCATTGACAGCTTATTTTCATTCTTCAAAGAATGTGCGGAAGATGGTAGACAAAACCCACTACACCGATGGCTCCGAATTAACTTATAGGGAGAAAAATCATCTGATCACATTTTGTACTGATCTTGAGAATTACAATGTCTACAATCGAATTCCTCAACATTATGGTCAATACGTGCCACTAGTACACGTGTTGAACTACGGTAACTACCATGGAGATACCCTGGTAAGATTTTTTACTATTATGACATCCGTGCATCTTTTTGCACACTTCTAAAACTAGTACATCATTGCTAACTACGAAGTTATTACTATGTTTTTCAACAGATAATTTCGAATGATTGTGTGCCTCATCTGATGTATACGCACGGTAGCCTTCATGTTTTGAACATACAACTAGGTCTTCCTACGAATCTGAACTGTTCATACCGGGTTTCTAAAAGAAGTGGAGACATGACAATCAAAGAATGGAAAAAAATGTATGAACAGTCGTAAGGAGCTTCTTGGAAGCAAAAGGCAGCGAAGCACAAGAATTGGAGACAGGATGATCTCCATTCTTCATAATGGAGAGTCAGGGTCTATATTATTTTATGCTATTTTACCTTAAGAGTGTTTAGGTCCTACCTGATACTGATGATCATGTGCTAAGAACAATTATGTAGGGTTGGGTTCGATGACTATGAGGATGATGATCGTATGACTTATTATTAATAACGAGTAGAAGTTGTATGATGATGCATGATTAGTAGGACTTGTTATTATATGTGATGATGTATGATGCGAGCATGCATGGGTTATTATATCGGCGGGTGAAATGAGCATAGCAACAACGTTGGTAAACCAAGGACGAAGATATAAGAGAGGACACTTCTCTCTATTAGCTAGCTAATAACAACCTAAAAATAACCCCCAAAACCCCTAAAGCAGCCACTTTTTTTTAAAAAAAAAGAAAAACATCGCCTTTTGGTCCCGGTTGGTGCCACCAACCAGGACCAAAGGTCCCCCTGCCTGGGCTCAGCGCACCGGCCACGTGGAGGACCATTTGTCCCGGTTCGTGTCAGAACCGGGACTAAAGGGGGGAGGCATTAGTAACGACCCTTTAGTCCCGATTCATGAACCGGGACTAAAGGCTCTTACGAACCGGGACAAATGCCCAGTTTTCTACTAGTGCTTGATGCTAGATATATCCATTTGAGAGACAAGCTTTTTCGGACGGAGGGAGTACAGTGTATATTGTTTCAGAACTAACGCAGGCAGCATGTACAGTTTGTGTCACTGATGGCGTATTTTAAGAAGCACCCTGGGTACGCCCGCTTTGTGACTGCGGCTGTCGACTTGCGTCGGGTATTCGGCTGTGCAAGTGGACACGGCAGATGGGCAACATGTTTTCTTTTGCCTCCCGGATATGGAGTATCTAATCTCGAGCACAATGCACCCGCATAACAATCAGCTGGCTCTCCCTCTGCGCGTAGTTGTTTTCCGTGGGCTAGCCGTCCGTAAGTGTAGCATCGTTGCCCGCATAAACAGTAACTCCTGAAACAATAAAAAAGTAAAAAAAAAATCTTTTTTTTGTTTGTTTATATGAACACCAATTGAAGTTCTAACATCCTGCAAAATTTCACTTTGAAAAGACAGCCGTGGAGGCCTGTACAAAAAACAATATTGGGGATTCTGCATTTTGGAGCACTCATTTTTGCTTTTTTGGCACACACCTCTATGGATGATTATTCGGGGCGAAATTTTGTAGCATGTTAGAAAACTTGTTGATGTTCATCCAGAAAAAAAAATCAGTTTTTAAATTATTTTCTTACTATTATTTTTTGAGAATTTACTTGTAGTACTTTTGCGGGTGCATTTGAGCTTGAGATTGTAGGTACTCCCCTGCTGATACGCAAGCAGTTTGCTGTGTTGGAAGATGCTCCGTTCCTCCCCCTTGGACGATTGCTGGGCGAGAGGGCACAGTGCACCGCACAACAGCAGATTATTTAAATGTCTTCCCGAGTGATCAGTTTGCTAGTTATAGGCGTTCCGCTTTTACTATATTTTCCTTGGTGAGCATTGCGACTTCTGTGGCCTGTAAGAAAAGTGGCATCCATCAATTGGCCCTTTACTTTTTTTATGGAGGAAAATTGGCCCTTTACCGTAAAAAATAATGGTAGATTAATCGTAGTGCTAACATCATGACTGTGCAAACCATTTGTGCCGGATAGAGGCGGCGGTGCCAGTGCCATGCATGGCCCCACGACCATGCATGCATGAGAGGGACCGGTGAGCTCACCCGGCTGAGTCACGCCGATGACGCCCCGGCGTCGCCTTCCTAGCCGGGGGCCGCACGCGCTCGCCTCCTTGTTCCTCGCCACTTCCTCTTACTTTTCCCCCCACCTTCCCACCGCGCGCCGAGCACGCCGATAAAAACTGCGGCACGCTAACCCTACCGACTCTACTCCGCAGCACCACCAGCAGCAGCTTCGCCTGCTCTCCCTGTGGTTGTCATGGCGTCCTCCGGCGGCGGGCGCTCACCTGCGGCGGTGGTCTTAGACGACCTTGTGGATGTTCGCGACCGCGTGGCGATGCTGCAGACCGTGCTGCAGGAGTCTTCGCCTGGGGCGACCGTGGAGGCCAGGGAGCTGGTGGAGGGGATGATGGCCAAGCTGTCGAGCGCCCTGTCGGTTCTCGGCACCGGTGATGGTGGCGTGGCGTCTTCGTCGGGGCCAGGTCGAGGACCGGGCGGGAGGAGGAAGAGGTCGGGCACTGCGTCGTCCGGGCCGCACCGCCGGAGCAGCTCGAGGAGAAGGTGAAGAGACTCTAAAACCCTTTATTAGCCGTATATACCGGTATACGTGCAACTAGCTTCAACATCCACTTTTGCAAATTGTACTATTAATTTTGGCGGCCTAGTGGGGGAACTTTAAGCGCCAATGATCAGGGGACGACTTGTGATGGCCAATTCCTGTGTTATCAGATTGAAAACATCAAAAGTAGATATGCCACTAATATTAGCTACTTGGGCATGCATGGGTACATCAAATCAAATACTCTATATAGTTGCTAATTAATTATGTTTGTTACTCATGGCAGGATGAAGAGCCCTCTAATCAGGACGGTCACCGCTACGACGCTCACAGATGGCAAGTCATGGAGGAAGTACGGGCAGAAACAGATAAACGACTCTACTAACCCGAGGTACACCATTTCAATATGTCCGAACTGTCCAAATATAAGTAAAGAGTGATTACTGAATCACTAATATTGAAGCTAGCTAGCCAAGCACACTTGCCAACTGGTCAATTAACTAGTTGCATACTTGCTAGTTGAGCTTTTTTATTTTATCCTTTTAAGGGGAAGTTGAGCTTTTCCATTGATCAAATGCATGCATGCATGCATGCATATGGTACTTATCGCTCCCTAAGTCCCTATATATAGCACCAGTTGTTGTATTGGGGTATTATTGGAGACCTAGTAGACTTGTAGCTAGCTCACATATGTAGGATTATCACTAATTTGCATATATGTGCATATGTATGCAGGAGCTACTACAGGTGCACGCATTTGCCAGATAAGGGCTGCAAGGCCAAGAGGCACGTCCACGTATCCGAGTCCAACCCGTCGGAGTACACCATCGACTACTATGGCCAGCACACCTGCAGGGATCCCTCCACATTTCCATCACTCATCGTCCAAGGGGCCGCCGACGCTGCCCCGCCGCCGGACTGTGCAAACCTCATCAGCTTCGCGCCCATCAATGGAGCCAACCGCGCTTTCACTGCCAGCACGAGCACGAGCGCTTTTTCTCATCATCTCATGAAAGAAGCGGCTGATCATCATCCTATGCTCTTCTCCCGCTTCTCCAACCACAGCTCCTCTCCGCCAGCTCAGGAGGGCGTGTCCAGCGACTCACCGTCGCCGGCTTGCCACAGCAAGTACATGCAGTACGCCGGCGGGCAGTTCATCAACGTTACTGGCATAAGGACATCGCCGTTGACTGTGGGATCAGCGCCGGCGGAGTACTGGCCGGTGGTGGAGGTCACCGGCGTCGACAGTGCTGTCGCAGGCATGGACAGCTTCCCTTCCTCCCCGAGCAGCCTCGGGTTCATGTCGGGCTCGTTGGAGGGATCATTTGGCAATAACGTTTACGACGACGACCTGTTCAGCTTTGATTCCTGACCATAACAAGGGCTTGCGCAGTTTGCACGGGCCGAGTAACGATAGTACGGTGTACTGTCTATGTATGAGTATATTGGGCATGTGTGGAACTGTGGATATGAACAGAAAGATAGCTATCTAGTAATCTGTACTATATTGGCATGTCAAGTGTAAATATATATATGTAAGTTTGCCTGTACGACCTTAAATTATGGGTTTGTAAATGTTGATTTATGTAAACATATTTTTTTTGGAAAATAGAAGCTTTCATTACCTGACCACTGCATAAAAAAAATGCTTACAACTCAACATCATTACATCGTTTATTACAAGCACATGAACCAAACTAGGACACAAAATCCTCAGTAAGTCACTTTGATCTTTTGGCGCCAAGCCCCTCAGCTATTTGTTGTGGTATAGAGCATTAGAGCCCATGATCACAACCAACTAATGCACATGAGTACTACCTGCATGTAAGGTTGAACCTTTTGTGTTGTAAAAACTTTATAATTCTCTTTTTTGGGATATTTTTTTCTATAATTCTAACACAACCAAATACTAGTAGAACAAAAAATCATTACAACCAACTCAACACCCAACGCACGCACGCACTAAAACCCCCATAAAAATAAGTGAGCGGAGAGACATGTGAACCCTTGTAGGCAAGACCCCAAAAAAAGTGAATACAACAATAATCAACAATTATAATGGTCAAATCAAAATCATTTTGCTATGCTGGGGGAAGCCATCAAGATTATTTCCGAGGAACCTGAAAAAGCAGGAGCAGTGCAATTTTATCAAGAAGAAGAGAATGAGCATGTTTAAAACAAAAAATTGGCCAGGCATTACAAATTTACAATTTCCTGAGACGAAAGCTCCATCTCATCAAGATTTAGAATGCATACTTTGGTTAACTTGTACATTAAACAATTGCACATGGTTTGACAGTATCAACCCGGTTTGTAGCCACCCTTTATGATCTTTTAATTAAGTTACCAGTATATTCTTTTGTTTATTAGATGATGCATGCCAATAGCTAGTCCTTGAAACCAAGATACCACCGCACTAGGGTCTGCATCGATGCTTTTGGTTGGACCAATGGATATCCACATTGGCCATAGACCATAGTGACAACGAAAATTGGAAAATGTCACGCCAAGTTTCCAAGTGTTTCACTCCAGAAACTTTGACTACACTGCATATATAGTACTGAAAAAACTACTGAATTGGCTCAACCACTCGACACATGGCTCCAATCATTTTCACATAGAAAATAAAAGCAAGGAACTCATGCATGAACTTCCTCCAGGTGATAAGCTCAAATGGAACAAGGCCACAAAAAGGCAAAGAACATGTGTAGTTTTTTCAACATTTTTAATCTTACGTTCCCGAAAAACAAAGCAATAAAAACTACTTGCCTGGTCACCATGAGTGGTCTCAAAGCCAGTAAGTTACACGGATCCATTTAAGATCCGAGGACAAAGTACCTTTCCACCCTTGGCGTATATGCTAGCTAGTCGAAGTCAAGCTAAGATTCAGCACTGAGGAGTGAAGATTTCACTTCCTGAAGAAGTTTCAACTATATATACTCTGAACTTTCATGCTAATAGCTAGTGTATGGTATCCTACTTTTTGAGCATGCGGATCTATCTTTCTGCTTCTGTGCATTAGATGTCCATAAAATAAATTATAGTCAACCTGATTCATACGTGTCACAATAATCGCTACATGAACTTTATTTACATTAATTATGCAAATTAGTCACCTTACCAGCATGTACAGGTAATACCAACATGGGCAAACCAAATTCCTAGATTTATTTCAGGCATTCTAGCAATGTGTATTGAGTGGGGGGCGAAGTCCCTTGAACTATGAGATGTCTGTGGCGAATTCGTCAATCTCAAGATTTACCGGCCCAGTCTCTCGAAGTTGCTTATAAGAATAGAATGAATATGTGTTTATATCCTCTTGATGCTTCATTTGAGTTAATAAAATTCACCATTTGTCGAAAAAAGAGTAGAATGCATGTGCGAGCTCATAGGGATGAGTATACGTGTGTTTATGTGAACATTTGTGTTTATACTGTGTGTTTTAAAAAAGAGAGCTGCTATACACACGACACACAGCGGATGATCTCCGCCCGACGGAGCACATCAGGGCGTCCATGCAAATCATGACAGTGCAACAGACGGCCAGATTTGCAGTCGGGCAGCTGTCGTGCAGACTCTGATGTCCACAAAGTAGTTTTGTTTAAAGAAAGTAAGACCAATGTGGGATGAAAAGCAAACATTAACTTTGGTCAAAGTTGTCATTACACGACAAATATTTACTTCCAAGCGCCATGGCGAAATGTCTTATAGCTTCTTTTTTTAACAAGTCTATAAGTTTGGGCATATCAGGCCAATGTGTCGTGCTTGTTTATTCGAACTGACATCCGCCTTTTTAGGTCAAAAGATTTTACGTGCAGACCAAGACAACCAGCCACGCAAGTAAAATATAACCAGTGACATTGTGTTGGTAAATAAAATCTTCCTTCTCATCCCATCAAAGGGGTAAAAGATTACCTCCAAAGATGTGGTATGCATGATTTGAAAGTATGGTGGAATAACTAACCCTCGTATGAACACTGCTCCTATATGGATATTTTTTGGACCTTGATAAGTGTCGAACGTCAGATATAAGCACATGGCAACTCCGAACATTTTTAATGGCAAGTTTAGTTACGCGAGGATGGCATCTTTAGTTGGCAAGCATGGCAACTTTCGTGCTTCAGTTTATTTTTGACACAAACTTACCGTGTGTCACTAGAATTTGCCATCCTTGCGTGACTGGAATTGCCATCGAAAAACGTCAGAGCCAGAGTGACATGTACGTGACGTGTGACACTTATCATTTGGGTATTTTTTTTGGATATCCTCGGATGTGCCCTACTCGCTCCTGGGACGGTTGGACAAAACCTACTTGTCACCCCCTCCCCCCTAACCCTCCCTTCCCACCCACTGTTGGGGAACGCGGTAATTTTAAAAAAATTCATTGGACCGCATACATCGGTATGTATTATTTTCAATAAGTCACTAGCTCGTTCATTGTTTCGGAGAACGGAGTTTTAGTCATCTTGCCCATAAGGCACGGTTCGCAAGCATCAAATGATTTATAATCAAGTGATTCCAAAAGTCCATATTTATGAAGTTTCTTTATGCACTTTACACTGATATGACCCAAACGGCAGTGCCACAAATAAGTTGCACTATCATTATCAACTTTGCATTTTTTGGCATCAATACTATGAATATGTGTATTACCACGATCGAGATTCAGTAAACCGTCAATATTGGGTGTATGACCATAGAAGGTTTTATTCATGTAAACAAAATAACAATTATCTCTGTTTTAAATGAATAATCGTATTGCAATTAACATGAACTAATCATATTCATGCTCAACGCAAACACCAAATGACATTTATCTACGTTCAACACCAATCCTGAAAGTATAGGGAGTGCTCGATGATGATCATATCAATCTTGGAACCACTTCCAACACACATCGTCATTTCATCCTCAACTAGTCTCTATTTATTCTGCAACTCCTGTTTCGAGTTACTAATCTTAGCAACCGAACAAGTATCAAATACCCAGGGATTACTACGAGTACTAGTAAGGTACACATCAATAATATGTATATCAAATATACCTTCGTTCACTCTGCCATCCTTCTTATCCGCCAAATATTTGGGGCAGTTCCACTTCTAGTGACTATTTCCCTTGCAGTAGAAGCACGCAATTTCAGGCTTAGGTCCAGCTTTGGGATTCTTCACGGGAGTGACAACTTGCTTGCCATTCTTCTTGAAGTTCCCTTTCTTTCCCTTTGACCTTTTCTTGAAACTAGTGTCTTGTTTAATCATCAACACTTGATGCTCTATCTTGATTTCTACCTTCGTCGATTTCAGCATCACGAAGAGCTCGGAAATCATTTTCGTCATCCCTTGCATACTATGTTCATCACGAAGTTCCAGTAACTTGGTGATGGTGACTAGAGAACTCTGTCAATCACTATCTTATTTGGAAGATTAACTCCCACTTGATTCAAGTGATTGTAGTACCCAGACATTCTGAGCACATGCTCACTAGTTGAGCAATTCTCCTCAATCTTTTAGGAAAAGTACATGTCAGAGGTCTCATACCTCTTGACACGGGCATGAGTCCGAAATACCAATTTCAGCTCTTGCACTACAAAAAAATACACTTCCGTGATGATACGTGTTTGTCACAGTAGGTCACGTTTTCTGTCATGCATGTACATCCATGACGATTTTATGACAGAGTCAAGATAGTCATACCTGTGCTGTCGTAGAAGTGTTCCATGACATTACCAAAATTATCATCATGGAAGTGTCCACTTCCATGATGATAAATCACGCATCATAGAACTGCTTTCATCAAGGATGACCGACACGTGGCATCCATCGTAAAGGAACACCGTTAAGCTATCAGGTTCGGTTTTGGATCCGATAACCCGCTAACAGCCATAACCAATGGGGATTTTCCACGTGTAAAATTCTCAATGGCCGGAGGAAACACGTGTTGCCTCACAGTTGGGACAGATGTCATCCACTCATTGGACAAGAGCCGCCTATGATACGTCGACACGTGGAATGACCGACTAGTGGCCCATTCCGGTGAAAAGGCCGGCCCAGCAAAAATTAGTAGGCCGACCCATATAAGGCCTACTTATGTCAGGTCCATTTAAGCCCACGACCCATACAAGATGTGCCAATTCGGCCAGTCAAAATAAGCGGGCCATCCCATTAGCGGCCTACTTGAGTCAGGCCCATTTACAAGTATGGCCCATACAAGTTACACAGAATCGGCCCATCAAAGGCCCATTCTAGATTCTATAATTTCCAGCCCGTCATTAGTTTAAGCCCGTTAATGGCCCACTACATCTTTGGGCCCAATTGCGACCCGAGATTCTTTCGTCCTGTTAGCAGCCCATCGTCAGTTCCAGCCTGTTAACGGCCC